ATATATATATACACACACACACATATATATATATATACACACACACATGTATATATATATACACACACAAATATGTTCCAATGTGTCACCCCAATCAATCTTTCGTCACATATCTTATTTTTAGAATGGTAGAAATGTATTGGCTGTTGTAACCACTGAACATCATCATGTATGAAGTGCGTTTATATTACAATATATGTGATGTACTGTACACGTGACCTACCTTGAAGTCAACCCTGATTTTGTGAGTAGGCTTGGAACACTCAACCTCTCTCTGCTCAAACCCATGGGCTAGGGCAGCCAGCACACTGGGAGGAGTCTGCTCCAAAGGACCCTGAGAGACAATCATGACATGAAAGTTGGCGGTAATGGACACACTTTTGTTTTTTTTTTTTACTTGTTTTTTTGCCTTTTCATGGCTTTATTGGATAGGGCAGCTGTAGAGAGACAGGAAAGGTGGGTAGAGAGAAAGAGAGAGAAACGCAGCAAAGGGCCGCAGGTCGGATTCGAACCCTGCAGCAACTCCGTATATGGGTCGCCAGCTCTACTGACTGAGCTAAACGGGTGCCAGTAGTGGACACACTTAAGGCACTAATTAACTTGCTTTTAACAATCTCAGAGGCATCATGGATAGCCCATGTACACATGACTTGCTACCAGCAGGGCAGACATTTATCATTGAAAAATAAAACAGCAGAAATATACAGCATGTCCTGAATTTGCAAAAAGGAACAGTCCGGAATGACGAGGTTTCTCGTGCCAAAAGTTGGCAGCATACAAACAACACTGTATTTGGCATGTTCTCAGAGACAGAATTGGCAGGTTGGTGTCATATGACTATGACAATATGTTAATAACTGAGATCAATCAACGCACTGTGCCAGTGCTAGACAGCAGAGCTTTTTGAAAATTTTGCTTTGACACTTATTGTGCAACACAGCACAAAATACAAGTTGTGTTGGCCAGTCAGGGCGTTGGCAGTGATAAAAAAAATCCCCCACCTTTTCAGCTTTACGTCGGCCAGATGGCACACGATGGGAGCTGGACTTTCGATGCCTGACTTCATCATCTGAAATGTCTCCAAGGAATCCATCCAGTGACACAAAGTCTTTAGAGGACAAGAAAAAACAGTCACAAGGCTTGACATAAGTTAAACGAAATGTGTTTACAAAGACTACAGCTCCACGTTATATGTAAGCTGATACTTACTTAAGCTGTGCTGTGTTAAAAATAATCAACTACATCATGAATGACGCATCTATCTCTTCTCTTCGGTGTTAATTTACCTTGGCTGAAACGGGGTCCAGCGCCCCTTCTCCTGGCTGGCGAGGCAGAGCTTTGGACAGCTTTGTCATCCAGATCCGAGTCGTAGTCCACCAGGTCAAAGTAGACGCGGGGTTTCACAACACGCTTTGGCTGCTTCCTTACTGACGGACTGTGGCTGTCACCCGGAAGACCAGATGGCGAGTCCGCAGCAGCCTCATTCCCTTCGTCGTTACTTGAATGCCCCCCGCTGAGAGAGGATCGCCGTCGCTTAGAGGAACCTTAAAAAAAGAAGAGGCTGCGTGTGACTGACTTTCCTAATGTTATGTAAGTAATACAGCAGCATGAAGCTTGCACGCTCAAGTGAAAAGAATACCTTTGGGGGCTGTTCTTCCACTTAGTCTGCGTGCTTTTCTCTCTTCAATTTGATCACATCTCTTATACCTTAAAATAAAAACGCACAAAAAAAACAGACTCTTAATTTTTTACACCTTCACTGTGATGAGCTCCACAACAACTCAGAGTTAAGTATAGGTCAACTTACACGCAGCACTGTCGTTTGGTATTGGGACCACCAAACTTGGGTTTGTCAAGGCAGTTCATGCACTTGCCACAATCGTCCTCATGGTTGCAGCCTTTGCATACGCCACACCTCCGAGAGCGATAACCAAATGGCCCGAGTCCTTTCCGTTTCACAAAATTTGACGGCTTCTTGGCCTTGGTGACCTTTGGATCTGACAGCCCGGGACTGTCTGACTCAGAGGGAGACCCAACATCTGAAACAAAATGTTATGTAATTCATTATTCACCTTTCAGGATGTGGTTGCTGTAGCAGATGTTTTGGTGGCCCTCATTTTGGTTTGGACATTGACGCACACTCTTGTCTATTAAAATGTTCTTATAAGTATACACAATGAAAAAGCATCACAATAGCCAATGGCACATCAAATCTCTGGAATAGCAGCATTTATAAGAAGGTTTTTAGCAATAAGCCAATTGTAAATTTGAGCATTTGGCCATTTAAAATGAATTGAATTGTAAAGACTTCTGAAATAGGGCTACATTTATTTTGCAATTATTGTGCAATTCAAAACAATAATCACATCTCTCCTCTACTCCATCCTCTGCCATGATTGAAAAACTGACAGCATTACCAACACCACATTGAATGCTGCTGCCATCAAGTGATCGCATTCAAGTAGTGAAAGAGGTGTCTAAAGAAAGCAAGTCCAGATGAGTCTGCCAATCAGTTTACACCTACCTTTAGCGACGTCTGAAGGGGAAATGCCAGTTCTTTCATGAAGAGGCAAGGCGCTGAGCCTGGGAATGTCATCTGGAACCAAGGCTCGAGGCTGCCCCAGCACCACAGACGCAGCACGACACACATGCTTGATTCGTGGACCTCCTGCTCTACGGAACTCCTGGCACAGTGGGGAGATGAGCTGCGGCTGGAAAAAAATTTAAATTAAAAAAAATCAGATCAGGATAGAGGCGCTGAGGTACAGAGGCTGGAATTGAAGGGTGCTACTATCAGAGTATTTGAAACTGATCACAGATCACTAGAAGCAGTATCAGCTGATACAGATCACTGGGTCTATTTAAAGTTTAAAGTGGAGCCTTATTTCTTATTATTTACTATTTTTAACAACATTTCACATTAAGTATTAAAATGCATTCATTATTATATCATGAATCGACAACTGTCAGGTCAATTCTTTTTTCACTGCTTAATTCTCCACTTTGGTGTTTTATTATTAACTCACAATATACTTTGTGCACTTGCTTCTTCTCCTCATTTTCCCCGTGTCTTTCTCTCACACACACACACAC